TTTGACGTCTGGCTATCTTTGTTTGTTTAAGTCCTCGGCAATATATTTCAAAACCCCTTAGGCCGTTCTAGGACCTCTTCAGCCGTATGTGTTTGTGTATTATGTGATTGTGGTATTTATATTATGTGAATGTTTTCTGTGTGTGTGTGTGTGTAGGTGTGTGTGTGTGTGTGTGTGCGTGTGTGTGCGTGTGTGTGTGTGTGTGTGTGTGTGTGTGTGTGTGTGTGTGTGTGTGTGTGTGTGTGTGTGTGTGTGTTGTGTGTGTGTGTGTGTGTGTGTGTGTGTGTGTGTGTGTGTGTGTGTGTGTGTGTGTGTGTGTGTGTGTGTGTGTGTGTGTGTGTGTGTGTGTGTTGTGTGTGTGTGTGTGTGTGTGTGTGTGTGTGTGTGTGTGTGTGTGTGTGTGTGTGTGTGTGTGTGTGTGTGTGTGTGTGTGTGTGTGTGTGTGTGTGTGTGTGTGTGTGTGTGTGTGTGTGTGTGTGTGTGTGTGTGTGTGTGTGTGTGTGTGTGTGTGTGTGTGTGTGTGTGTGTGTGTGTGTGTGTGTGTGTGTGTGTGTGTGTGTGTGTGTGTGTGTGTGTGTGTGTGTGTGTGTGTGTGTGTGTGTGTGTGTGTGTGTNTCATGGCCATTTTGGGTCGTTTGTGCTTGTAAGGCACGTGCTCGTTGTAGCTTACCATTTCGCGTACCAGCGCGTTCTGGTGGGCTTGGCAGGTTACGAAGGCCTTGGTTGCTGTCTCTTGGAGTAGGTCCTTTACCCATGGTACTTGTAAGTCCTGGTGTAGCGTCGCGTTTGAAACGAACCACGGAGCATTCGTGACAAGCCTCAGTGCCTTGTTTTGCACAACTTGGAGTTTATTCAAGTTTGTCTTGGCAGCGTATGAAAACGCAAGTGCGGCGTACGTCATAATCGGTCTAATGACCGATGTGTACAACCGAAGTTTGTTTTTGAGGCTGAGCGTGCTTCTGTGGTTCATCAGAGGAAATAAGAGTGACATCACTGCCGCTGCATTATGAGTGCAATAGTGTGCTGTTTCCAGGTTAACCCCCTATCTAGTTTGACACCGAGGTACTTAACGTCGGTTTTCCATGGGATCGGACGTCCGAAGAGAGTGACGCTTGCTGCCGGAACTTGTTGTCGTTTGGTTAAGAAAAGAGCGCTGCTCTTTTCTGGGTTCACCGCTATTCGCCAGCTTCTGAACCACTCCTCTAGTTCGTTGGCAGATTCTTGTAGCCTGTTGGTAATCACGTGTGGCGCTATAGATTTTGTCATTATAGCGGTGTCATCGGCACACAGCGCAAGGGCGGTGCCATTCGTCTTGGGTGTATCGGCAGTCTAGAGGGAAAACAGGAGCGGCGATAACGGTGATCCCTGCGGGGTTCCGGCCTCCATACTGCGAGAGCTGGATCTGACGTCCCCCAGTTTCACAGTGAAACTGCGATTTCGGAGGAACGACGCTATAGTCTTCAGCAATGCCGGGTGGTAACCTGCACAGAAAATCTTATATATTAATCCATTATGCCTTGTCGAATGCCTTCGAAACATATAGGAATGTTTTGGCCTAAAGCCGAACTGTTCGTCCGGTAAAGAGTCACTACGTGTATGTTAACTTCTTCACGAAGTCTGGCTAACAGGACCCTATCCGCTATCTTCCCGGCAGCAGGCTTATTGGTCTGTAATTCTGGGGGAACGTCGGTGATTTTCCTCGTTTCTGAAACGTGATAATGTCTGCGGTTTTCCATTTTTGTGGAAAGTACCTTAGGCGTAGCATTGCGTTAATAATGTTGACAAGAGACATAATGGCTTTCACCGGAAGAGCTTTTAGGGCTCGTGATGGTATTCCGTCGGGACCGGGAGCTTTCCTTGGATTGGTAGCCTGCAGTAGCTCCCTAATCTCCTTCGGGTTCGTTGGTCTGACGAACCCTGTATGGGCCGCCCTTAGTAGACGTCGAACGTACTGGTCGACTTGTTCGATACGGTCTTCGTCTACGTTGTCTTCGTTCGGCCGAAACGCGTTCTCGAGACAGTCCGCGAACGCTTCCTCCTTTTCTATTGGTGTGTACACCATACCGCGCTCTCCCTGGATTGGTGGGGTGTTTTGGGTTCGGTGCTTTAGCGAGCGTGCTAGTTTCCACAGGGGACCTGGAACCTGGTTTACGTTAGTGAGCCTTACCTGCCACCGTTCGTTGTGTACGTCTAGTAGAGCGTCCTTTGTTTGTGCCGCTAATCGGTTCATCTCTACCCGGTCAGCCGGGTGGCAGGTGCGCTGCCAGCGACGTCGGGCTCGGTTCTTTTCCCTGATTAGTCTGCGGACTGTATCAGGTATTCGAATCGGAACCCTGGTCGTTGTGTGGGTCGTTGTCGTTTGTTCCAGTGACGACAGTACTGCAGCTGTGAGCGTGTCGACGGCTTCTTCGATGTCCCGTTGGCATCGTTTTGCCTTGATCTTAGGAAAATTTTCCTGAAGATGGTCGGTAAATTGCGGCCAACACGTGGACTTTCTCTCGTAGACGGTGTTGTTGTTGTCGGTGCCTAGTGACAAAAGAATCGGATCGTGATCAGATGAGAGCTCACTTACCGCCGAAAGCGTGAAGTCGTGTGCTACATCCTTGAAGAAAACGTTTGGTGGTCCTAAGCCGTTCGCTGCGTAGTACGTAGGTTCATCGGGTCCGATTACTGCTACGTTCCTCGTCTGACTGTAGTTGTGTAATACCGTACCGCTCGTGTTCGTCCTGCGGCTGTTCCAGGCCGGGTGTTTGGCATTGAAATCATCATCTACTATGGTTGAAACGTCGCATACTAGGATATCGTTCAAGTCCTCCTCTGTCATTGTAGAGTACGGTGGCCGGTATGCGGCTATTAGACGTAATGGACCTCTCATTGTTATGACTTCTACTGCTGCCGTTTCCAGATGTTCTGTCGATACCACAGTAACGGGATAATGTTCGAGCGAGCGCTTTACGTAGACGGCTGTTCCGCCACCTAACCTGTTCTCTCGGTCGGTTCGGTATAATGCGTAGTTTGGGAACTTTGCATATATACCTTCACGTAGGTGGGTTTCGCTTACGAGAACAACATCTATTGAGAGCCTTTCTACGAGCTCAAGAAGCTCGAAACGTTTCTCCCGAAGTCCTCTGGCATTCCAGACGAGTACCCCATTGACTCACCTAGTTAAAAAGGGATAGTACATCCTGAGCGCATCCTAGCAAACGGGTTAGGATATCCGCTGCGCCGTTTGCCCCTGCCAGGGCGTTGGCGACTTTCTGAGCGGCAGTAGCCACTTTCTGAAGGTTGAACCTGGCTAGCATCTGAATGATACTAGTCAGGGTGTCGGTCTGGGCGGCTGGGGCGGGACCCGGTGCTGCCTGAGAAGCGGTCGGTGTGGTAGGCGTTGACTTTGGCGCTGTTGCCCTGGCGAACGACACTTCTTGACGAACTGTGCTGGCTGTTGAGGTGGAAGCAGTCCGGGAGTCCAGTCCCGTGGTCCTCGCTCTGGGTCGGGGAAGTTCAGGAAATTGCGGGCAGCCGCGGTAGCTCGCCGGGTGTGCTCCTCCACAGTTCGCACATTTGGCCGGCTGGTTCCTCGGCTTCTCGCAGGTAGAGGTGTGATGTTTCTGTCCGTACTTTACACAGTATGATTTATTAATTAAATATTTACATGGTGCCGCTGCTCCACCTTTCGGTACTACAGCGGCGGTCTTTCGAAATTATATATTTACAAAAGAGATATATGCGCTATTTTAATTATTTAGACTAAAACTAAAAGTAAACTAATTAACTCGATATAACTACAATCTCTACTTTTTCCCCTCCGTCTGCTCTTTTCGCGGGAGAAAAACACCAGAACCTTCGAAAGTGATTTTATTGTTTATTTTACATAGGAGATAATTATTTGGCGAGCAGAGAGGGAGGGGGGCCTGCATTAATTATACTTACATTGAGTTAAGATGCCCCGTTTCGAACATGCAATACGATGTTTCCACATGTGGAATTTATTTATTAAAAACAGCATGTAACTAAATTAATTGTACAAATGTATTGCATATTCGTATCGGAACATCCGGTGAAAATTAAAATATCGCATATGAAAATATTTACAAAAGTAAAATGTACCACTAGGAGAGTTAGAGTTCGCTTCAGTGCAGCCTGGGAAATATTTACATGTGGTCCAGCATTCGCTGCAAGGGTTGGGGAAACCCAGAAAAACCCAACCAGACCACTACAAACTCTTACCCATAACGTTGCTTCGGCACCAATACGACAGCAATATTTTGCCAGTCGAATGGAATCAAAATAAAACTAACAAAATGTTTAATATACCGTAATGCATTTCGTTTTAGTGCTGAAGCATCGCCCTATGTATACATATGTATTACATTTAAAGACAGAAAAATATATACAAAATAATAGAACATTGAACCGAAGTTCACAACCGAAAATTCATATATACATATTTACATAAACCCCGAATATAATTTATCGCGAAATTTTGAATTTTGTTTGTCCCGGTTAATAGCAATCACTTTGGTAGCACAACATCGAACGCGCACGTAGCTATCCCGTGGTGAGTAACTAACGCTATTGTCGAAAGAGAACACGCGAGAATGATAATTTGACGCAACGAACGTTCGAGTGGAGGCTCGCACTTTCCCGAAGCCAAATGTTTTGGAGGTTCCGAGTCCTGGTGCTGTTCCATTCCGCCGCGCTTGTGTTTGACAACGGGGTGGGCCGTTTGGGGGCGCAGGCTTCAGTCTTCCAGGCTCTTCCGGTCCGCAACCGACGCGGTGCTGTTCCATGTCCGCTATCCTGTTGGTCGCCTTCTCGGTATGGTCCGTGGCTGGGTGATGTGGATGCGCAGGCTTCAGTCTTCCGCGTCGTTTTGACTCCAGAGTGGCTCCACGGGGACGCGTACGCGACCGCGACCGCGAACAATCGAAAAACGGGAAACCGAACGCTAACCGAACGCGAAACCGAAGCAAACGGGCGCGAACACGAGTACAGAGCACGCACAACACAAGGGCATTTTAATTGTCAACTTTTAATTTTTCGACACGACCCGAAAATGTCCGAAATGCGTCCCACCAGTCCCTTTCGTTCCACAGCTGTGTGACCTCCCGATAGTTGGTCGGCCACCTTAAGCCGTGAATCGCGAGGGCCCGGTCGGCGGCGCCGCGATGTTGTTCAACTAAGTCGCACTCGAACAGGACGTGTTCCGCCGTATCGGTGCCACCGCATTCGCAAATGTCGTCCTCGATTTTGCCGATACGCTTCAGATATGATTTAAAATTCCCGTGTCCTGTCATCAGTTGAACCATGTAGAAGTCGAAATTCCCGGTGATCTTCCTGTCGTAACAGGGTTCCGGTAAGAAGCTCGCCGTAGTCCTTCCGGTTGTAGCAGTCCTCCATCGTTCCTTCCAAGCCTCCAGAGATAAAGTACGCAATCGTCGTTTAACGACTGCTCTGGGCACCAGGTCGTAGATGGGTGCTGTCGCCTGGTCAGTGGCGGCGGCCTTCGCAAATTCATCCGCAGCGTCGTTTTTCGCATTACCAGAATGCGACGGTGTCCAGTGGAAACGTAGGGAAATTTCGGCGGCCAAGCTGACCGCGAGTTCCCACGTCTCCAGTTGTAAAGCGGTCGGTTGTTTCATATTGCGAAGAGCCGTCAAAACAGACAGGCTGTCCGTCACGATGGAGCACTCCTTGATTATGTCCGTTTGCCCCTGTAGATGTGTTACTGCTTGTCGTAGTGCTACCATTTCGCACTGAAAGATAGTACTATTTTCCGCGAGGGTGAAATTTTCCCGATGAATTTCCGTATCGCCGTGGTAGAGTATGAAAGATCCTCCAGCTCGTCCGTCGTCCAATCTCGATCCATCCGTATAGCAGACAGTCTCGTATGCATTTTGGACTCCTTCCGTAAACCGGAAATTGTCCATGTCCGCCGGATGCGTAGTGTCCGCTAGGTTGACACGTCGTTCGAGCTGTCGGTCCTGGAGTTGTACATCAATAATGTCGTTGTCGCGTGGTAGATCAGCAAAAAGTCTGTACTTTTTAGCTGTTTCCTGCAACAACAAATCAAACGGCAGTACTCTACTCAAGACGAAAGCCGCTTCCGTGGAAACGGTGCGATACGCCGCCGCTGCTTTTACAACTAAAGTTCTTTGCGCGCTTAAAAGAGACCTGCATTCTTTTACTTTACACCCATCTGCCCAAATCGGTGCTCCGTATAGCATGGCCGATTGTACCGCGCCCTCATATACTTTTGATAAAGCCGCGCCCCTGAAACCCCAAGTTAATCTTGCCGCCGCGGCAATTTTATGTGAAATTTCTTTCCCCTTGTTCGTGACATACTGTATATGAGGTTTCCACGACAATTTTTCATCAATAAAAATCCCTAGATATTTTATGCTCTCAGAGCAATGTACGAAACGCCCGTTGAAATTAAAAGCAGGTCTCTGTTGATTAATACTTTTCCCAAAAAACAGCGCTTCTGTTTTTCCCTCGTTAAATTTTAATTTTAGATCATCGGCCCAATTTGACAACATACCGAGTGCTTGGTTAACAGTGCTTTTCAAAACTTTATATTGACGCGCTTCGACGACGAGCAAGGTGTCGTCGGCAAATGAAAATATTTTAGACCCGGCCGGTAACTGAATATCGAAAATAGTGTTGTACAGGATGTTCCACAATAATGGCCCGGAGCACGAGCCTCGTGGACAACCCCGTTCAACATTCTTCACAATAGCAGTACCGGAAATTGTATTTAATCCGCCATTTTTGCCAATTTCAAATTGTAAACGCGTAGTGAATATCCTATCTAAAATATTGACAACTATCGGTAGTAGACTAATAGGCCTAAAACTATTTACCTCGCTAAAATTCCTTTGACCCGGTTTTGGAATAATTTTTACGGACTGTTTTTTCCAGCAGGCTGGAAAAATGCCCTTTTTAAAACAATCGTTAAAAATTTTTATAAAAACGTCCGGTGCGGTCTGAAATGCTACCAGGGCTGCGTCGGAAGTTATCCCGTCGAGTCCCGGTGCTTTCCGCGGGTTCATCCTGCTTGCGGCGCGTTCAATTTCCGCGTACGTAATGTCCTTAAAAAATGGGTCGTTATCAATTAAATTTTGTGCGGCCGTGCGAACTCGCTGATGCGATTCACTATCCGTGCCGCGGTCGTCCGACGGGAAAAAGGAATCTAAAATAAACTCCGCGGTGTCCCTTGTGTTTTTTGTGTACGTGCCGTCGGGCAACTTTAAATTTTGGATTGAAGACCTGTTTGAGTTTTTTCCGCGGATGACCTTGTATGCTGTTCCCCACGGGTCCTTTTCAGAGTCCCTCGTACAAAATTCCCTAAATTTATTTGCCCTAGTTTTTTCTAAAAGCTCCTTATATTCACGGAACACACGGTTGTATTCCGCGCGCTTGATCTCTCGTGCCGCTTGATTTTTTTCGCGCTGAAAAGAACGTCTAATTTTCCGCGATTGGGACCTTTTTTCGGTAAGTTGTTTGGTCCACCACGGTACACTTTTTGCGAAATGTTTTTTAAGTGGCATAGAAGCCTCGCACGCTGTAACTATGCAGTCATTTAAAAAGTTTGCGCGTTCTGAAATGTCATTTTCGTCGATTAGTACTATATTTCCTATGCTATCCCTAAAACTGTCCGAAAAGGTTTGCCAATTTGCTTTTTTATTACAAAACCTACGGTCAACGATATTAGTTTCGTTTTTGTCAAACGAAACCTGCCACGTGATTAATTTGTGGTCAGAAAGTGTTTCTTCGTCTGATAAATGCCAATTTTTTATTAAAGTTAATGCATTAAAATTTGCTAACGTTAAATCAACAAAACTTGACCCGCGATGTCCAACAAAAGTAGGTTCGACATTATTATTTAAAACGATAAAGTTATTATTTTCAAATATTTCCAAAATATTATTACCTCTATTGTCATTTATCGGACTGCCCCAAATATAATTTTTCGCATTAAAATCACCTGCCATAACAATAGGTCTTGTTTGGTCGAGTTCTGAGAATACGTCATTAAGGCGTTCGAGAAACTTGTTCTCGTCGACGTTCGACCCCGCGGGTGGTAAATAGACATTAACAAGAACTATCGTTATGGTATTTACGGTAATTTCAACGACAATTATATTATCGCAAGAAATACTTTCTAAAAATAAACAAGAAATATTTGAATTATTTACAATAACTGCTACTTTAGGAATATTACATGATTTATAAATTACCAAGTTATTTTTAGCAAAACCAACAACTTTCGATCTATTGACCGTAGGTTCTTGTACAAAACAAATATCTAATTTTTGATCTAAAATAACCTTCAAGAGATTGCTAGTAGCCGCCTTGCCCTTACCTAAATTGATTTGGCCTAAATTTAAAACGAAATCCGCGTCGGGGTTATTTTTATGGTTTTTAATTACCATAAAAATCTATGTTGGCTAGAATAGAGTTTTTAATTCTATTCATCGTCGGGCAAGACTGGCTTTTTGCGTCATGGTCTGTACTAACGGGCGCGTGTTTTTTGTCCTTATTAGACCTGACACAAACTACACACGAGGTAGTTTTAGACTTACAGTCCTTGAAACTGTGTTTACCGCCACATTTTCCGCAAATTTGCTCTTTAACCTTACAATTTTTCGATAAGTGCCCAAAGTCGTAACATTGGAAACACTGTAATAATGAAAAATGGTCCCTAATAAAAACGCGCTGCCAATTTAGATAAATTGGCCTATCTAACATTTTCTGTCTCAATACGGGATTAATTTCGAAGATTGCGCTGTAACTATTCCTACTGTTACGCGATTCAAAAACAGCAAGTTGTCTAAAATCGGCTTTAAACTTGTTTACGTCGTTACCATAAAGACTATCTATAAAATCATTATGCCCTAATATCGTTTCATGTAAATCCTCCGCGTTTAAATCTTTGTTTACCCTGTCTATCCTTACTCGCGGCCACCGTTTTTTGATATCCCTGACCGCGACATCGTCTTTTGCTTTGATAAGCAACGACTTTTTAATTTTTTCGGCGTCTTCTTTCCTTGCACAGTCAACCACTAGCACGCCAGATTTCGTGGCCGTAACATTTTTGACCGCGGTATTATTTTTTATCGGGTCTACCGAACGCATAACAACCTTCCTAACATATTCGGCATCTTTCCCTACTTTTTTAGATTCTATTCTAACCGGAAATGAATTTTCGCTGACCCTATTGTTGTTAACTACGTTTTTCCCTGATCTAAGCTTATCCGCGTAAGAAAAACAAGGTGTACTTACAGTTTTGGCGGAGTTTTCCTTGACCTCTTTCACTTCCGCGTCTTTCCTTTCGATGGTATGGCGAAGTTCCTTCACAACTCCTGCCATTTGGACGAGCTCCTCCATCAGCTGGTCCGCCGTATCCCGAATTGTCCGCCGGTCAGCAACTTTAATGGTCTCCGCCTTCAAAGGTACCAACTCCCGAATAATCTTAAAAAGACGCCTAGCATTAGCGGACATAGTATCTTCAGGATACTTACCATATGTTCGGCATGTCTCTCCGCTGTCCCTACGTCGCATTTTTTTAATTTCCGCGGCACTAACACACTCAGGCTCGTCGTCACACCACGGAGTCGTTTTTTTCCGTTTCCCGGACTCGGAGCTGCACTCCATCGCACTCGCTTCACTAGCACAACTGACGAACGAGTTCGACCGAACTCGTTCGTGTTCACTCGGCCCGATGGGCGTGGCACTACGCTGGCTCTCGGACATCGCACAACCGATCGGTTCGGCTGCTCGATGCGAACTCCGTACTTTACACAGCGGGCGGTTGCCGTGCAGTTTCTCTGAGCGTGCCCGAAGCGTTTGACATCGGTGGCACTGGCCGATGGTGGTCCTTTGTCGTGGCGTCTCTACTGAAATCTTAAGAAAACAAACTGTTGTTAGTTTAAAGATTTCTTTACTTTTGTCGTCTTTAGGTAGGATGACCAAGACGAGCGGTATAGGTGTCTTCGTCTTAGCGCTAGTCATCCTGACGACGTTTTCAACGTTAAAGCCCTGCGCCTTCAAGTCTTCTGAGACATCCGCAGCCTGGATGTCTGTCGGGATACCGCGAAGTACTACCTTCAGCGGCTTGTCCTCTTGAAGCAGGTACGTGTGATACTCGACTTTCTCACGAACCAGCAGCTGCTTCATGTTCTTGTAGTCCATTGCGGTTTCGGGATGGACGCTTATACCGTCTGCTATATTCCTGGCCTTCAGGAATTTTATGTTGCTTCTCGCTAGCAAGCCTGCTAGTGTTGTCCACCGGTGCTTCTCCCAATGACGACTGGTGGGACATGCTTTCGCTTTGGCAACGATGATCGATTTTGCGAAGCCGAACGTCCGATTTCGCTTATAGTATCGCTGGCTATTTCGACGTCGACTGGCAATCCCTGGAAGGTGTTGCTCGTCGGTGTCGGTGGCGGTGTCTTCACCCTGACACTCGTCACACGAAGCTTCTTGGTAGGATGCTGGAAGCTTCCTACCTCGGTTGGAGCAGCCGCTTCTTCCATCTCCGTCGGTCGCTTAGGGCTGTCCTCCGTCGCTGAAATGGTTTTTGGTAAGATTTAGTCTTAAGAAAGACTGTGTTTTTTCTATCGGCTATCGGCTATCTGGACACGTCGAAGATCAGTCGAAGTGTTTTTTTTTTTTGACTAGCAGGGGTTCACGGTCGACGTTTCTATTGGCTGAGACCGGTTGTCGTGCTCTGCCGTGGATTAGACAGAGGCACATCGTTCTCTTGCTGGTTCGTGTACGATGTTGTTGCTGCTGATTTGGTGGTGGGGGAGAGGGACCGGACGCAAGTCGTCGATGTATGTAAATTTTTTGTGGGACGGTGTCAAAATCAACGATGTATGTGGTATCGTTGATCGGTTAAAGTATTGGGTGTGGTCCTGTCCATTTAGGCACGAATGGTTGACCAGTTTGTAAGAACACTCGGACGAGCACTTGTTCCGCGGGTTGGTAGGAATTTGGTTTTGCACGTTGGGGTGGTTTATGACGTCCTACATAGGCGTTCTGATGTTCCCTGGCGGCGGTCCTGAGTCCTGAGTTGTTCATGGTATTCTTGGCACTGGAGAGTGGGGTTGTCCCTACTTCCGGGGTAAAGCAGGTTGTACCCGAACAGTAGCGACTGTCCCGTCTTTGCGTTAGGTCTTTCGCCGAAGAGCGAATAAGGCTCAATTGAACCGGACATCCCAAGTAAATGGGCGCCGGCGGGATAACAGGATCCGCATCCGGTTTCTTACTTTCCTGGTTTCTCCTCTCGACGGGATTGGCTCGGGGATGATACATCGGGGTGTTCTGTAAACGTAGAGAGTATCGCCGACAGAAGTTGGTTCAGCGAGGATAGATGACACTATCAGGTTTACATACCTATGTATGACCTCACTACTTCCGAACCAACGCTTGGTCGAAAGCGTAGTCGCCCGCCAAGCCGCCCAGTTTTTCAGGCGCAAAGCCTACGTTTACCGAGGTATTAACGTACACCTATCCATAACACCAATCACCTCACCTCCAAGATACTCCCATGCCTAAATCCTAACCCAGACCAATTGATGGCTCATCTTCACCGTTAATTGACATTCGTGGACCTTAAAATTTGTACAATAAACACAAACGGATGGAAGAGAAAAAAGAAAAACATAATACATACGCTAAATAATGATTCAATACATATTCTCGTGCTACAAGAGACACTATCTACACGCAAAGAACGGCTGTATATATCACAGTACAGCATCTATCGAAACGACAGACTACTCAACAAAAAAGAGACGGCGGTAATCATACACAATTCCATTGCGTCTAACCGATTTTTCTTATCACCTCAATTCCAAGAGCTCGACTGCTGCGCAGCTACGCTACACCTTCACTCCGGAGATATTATCTTTTCGTTTTACAGTAAACCTTCTACCAGGCTACCAGTCGAGTTCTTATCCTACGTAGCAACCATTCCTACCATATGGAACCCTCTGTCTTCCGCAATTTTTATAAAATTCATAGCGCTTGCATGGGCAATATCGAAAAGTTTGTCTAGTTCCTTTGTAAACAAATATTCCCTTTTTCTTTGTGCTTTAGAATTTATTTCTCTATTTTTCTTCAAATGCAGCCAGTTCTTATGAAACTTAATCAGTTTTTCAATGCATTGATTTTGTTGCCTGGTCGGAATACTAGATTTACTCCATACTTCTACAAGTTCTTAAATTAGTATATACACGGAATCTTTCACATATTTGCTGAATACAAATGGCATTATAAAAGGCTAGAAAAAAATCAGTTCTGGAAATACTATCTTAAAGATTGCTTGGTACTGACGTGCTATGAGACCCCCTTCAAAAACTCTGTAGACCATAATGCGTCTTCCAAAAATGAAACACAAAACCCCAATCTCAAAGCGCCCTTGTCGCGTCTTCTCCAAAATGTAGATCAATTTATTGTATTATGTCGATCGAAAATACCCAACTTATTCGAAAAGAATAATTTCTTTTTATAAATTTATTTCAGCATTAAGACCGACATAAAACCTATTAAAATAAAGTTAATGCTTTTGTTTGTTTTATAGTTAGTTTCCACATTCACAGTCTTCATGGGAATCACTATCACTGTAACCGACATCAACAATTAATGCATCTGCTTGTACGTCTATTACTTGCTCATTATCTACATGTTGTTCCTCACAGTTAATAACATATTCACTGCGAAATTTCCAGTTGTAGGTTTTACTTCTGAAAAAGCTTTTTACGTCGATTTCCAGACGTCTTCTAATTTAAACGTAACGTTTTCTTTTGCCACTTTTCCTTTCACTGTTTCCCAAATCATCTCGATAGAATTTATATCGGGATGATAAGGCGGAAGTCTGATAACTGTATGACCATGTGCTTCCAATATTTGTTCAAATTTGTAGCTTTTGTTTCACTAGTTCATATAATTCTGGTTTTAAAATACCATTACTAAACGAAATTTCTTTTTTGGTCAACAACAAGATCAGTTCAGCTTTTCTTGAATTCGAATTTGGAATAGGATGAACTTGTATATTGTGGTACGGAGTGACGTCGATAACAATAATTGAATTGGGTAGTGAATTAGGTATTAAGTTCTTCCATGCCATTTTTCATAATTAGAACGGTTCATTTCATCAGAGTCAGCTCTTTTGAAACCTGACTTAAAAATTAATAAACCGTTTGGAATAAACCCTTTGTCACAACTAGCATGAACAATTACCAATCTTTGTCCATTGGACATATTGGACATCAATCCATGAGTACTTTCATCACTTCATGATTTTGGAACAGTATGTCCGATGTGTATGTAGATTTCATCTAAATAAATGGTGAATCGTTTCTTATATTGTTTATTTGTTAACAAGTGTCTAATATATTCTGAACAAAGTGATAATAGATTATTATAATTACCATTAAATTTACCATTTAAATAAATCACTTTAAACTAAATTATTGTTGCCTACTTCTTTTTTATATAATTGATTTATTTTAATTTTTAAACTGATTCCTGCTCACTCTCTTGTGCTAAATCGTTGTCGTTATTTAAGACATTCTCATAAATTGAAACACTTGGCTATTGTGACCCTACTGTACAAACTTATTCTGTAAAATTTACGTTCTGGTTTTGCCACGTTCTAAATGTTTGATAATTGTTAGTATTTCTGACTTGCGAATTGGAATTGTTTTGATAATTAGGAGCTGTACTTAGTAATAATGGTATTATTGTTATTGCTACACCTGGTCTGTGTGTTCGGAATTATATTGTTGTCCCTTCAATAGTCTGAAAGGCATGTCGCGATTATTTGTTCGAATGTTTATCCCGTATTGTTAATTAAAGATATAGGTCGGCATAATTTTGGGTTTGTCGGGTCTTTGTCTGGTTTTGGTATCATAATCACGTTCGCGCTTTTCTATTTTGTGGGATAATAAACCCGTTGTTAGTATTCCTTTGAATATTCGAGTTAGGAAATCGATTGCCGTAGGTGGTATGTTTCGCGGATGTGTTTGTTATGCCGTCCTGTGTTATTTCGGCCAATATATTGTTTGGCATGTGTTGTGCAACTTCCAAAGTTCATCTTATTAACTCGCGCTGTGTGTCGCGTCGTGATGTGGCCCGGTACGAGGTGGCTTATAGTTGATTGATTCTGACAGGCAATTGCTTTAAATTTGCTCCAAATTTTGGAACAATTATGGTAATTTAGTGTACTATCGGTTTTCATGAGGTATATTTATTTTTAAGCGTACCTACTAACGCGTTTACCCTGTTCCATTCGATTTTTATCAGTGGGTTTCTCGTTCTGTGTAGAGACGGTATAAATCGCATTTTCATTTTATTAGTTCGACTATCTTACGCGGGAAAGGTTTTCTGTCTATGCTAATTCTTTTAACTGTGGCTGTTTAATCTCGTGTTCTACGCATGTGTTATAAGTTGTAAGCGTTTATCGCGCTGTCAATGTCTATTTGCTTGTTGATATTCGGAGGAAGTAAGTTTGAGTTTCTTATATGTTCGTGAAAGCTATTGAAGTTTATGTTCTTATAAGATTTCTTTATACGATATTTGTCCTACTTTTTGCGTTTGAATACTAAGGGTAGTCGAAAGCGGTAAATGGTCGCTAGCGATTGGTGTACCTATATCCCAATGGTCCGAAAAGAGGGACGCGATTCAGTCCGTACAGAGTATGTGGTCGGGTATTGAGGAGTCCTGGTGACTAAGGAACGTGAAGTTAGTGTTTAGAACGCGAAACATATTGAGAGAAAGAAGCGCGTTAGAAGGAATGCGTTATTGGTTCGTGTAGGGTTTGGGGTAATTGGGATGTTGTTGTAAAATGTGTCGGATGGAAAGTGTAGGTCTAATCTCGCGACTTTGCGTAAAATACTGTCAAAGGCAAAGTGTTTATCCCTGGAGTTGGTACAGGAAGAATAGGAAGTGCAGGTGGAAGGGTCATGCTTAAAACCGCAGCGGTAGCATAGCGGTTGCTGTTGACAAGAGGTAGTATTGTGGCCAAATGCGAAGCATGTGCCACACTGGAGTGGTTGAGGGCCGGCAGACTTGGAAGGCTCGCAGCGATAATTACCAAAGAACATTTTAAAACCTTTTAAAAGGTGTCTATCGGTTTGGGGCAAGTGGATATTATCCAGAACAAGGATCCTTGTCCCTTTTCCTGAACTTCACTCGTATCTGTTTAAGTTTTAATACGCCCGTTTATTAACGAAATTAGGTTAGCGCGTTTCCGTATTTTGTCTAATGTGTGTTTATTTTAACGGTGGAAGGTAATTGTTTATAAGTTTCTATAATAACCCGTTATGCCAAATGGTGTCGAAAGCCTCATTCAAGGTCATGTGCGACTACTAAGGTACAGCCGCCCGCGTTCATTGAGGAAATGACTTCGGTTTGCAACTTCAGTGCCGAGTCAGGGGGGCCGAGTTCCTTTCGGAACACGTTCTGTGTATCCGGGATGATATTGTTGTCCCTACAGTAATCCGATAGTCGAGTAGCGATAATCCGTTCGAATATTTTTCCGGTATTGTTGATTAATAAATTGGACGATAAGTCGTGGTGTCGGTGAGGTCTTTTTGGGGTTTCGGAATCATAATAACGTTCGCGCTTTTCCAGTTTGTTGGATAATAAAATGTTTCTAAAATAGCGTTGAATATGTTTGTTAGAAAATCTATCGCGCATGGAGGCAAGTTTTTAATTATGTTGTTGGTGATTCCGTCTTCACCGGAGGAACTGTGAGAGATTGCGACATTTCACAGAACATAGTGAAGCCTTTGGAAAGCAGGGTGTCGATAGATTTGTGACAGTAAAAAATTATTCGGAACAGAAAAGTATCTTGTCCGGTTTGCCTGGACTTAATACGCCAGGCGTTTTTGGCTTCAATGTTTTGATCTTTCAAAGCGGAAAGTATGTGTGTGTGTGATATGATTAAGTCGACGGAACGGGCAACACAATAAAACGTGTTTTTTTTGGTTACGCCGGTTGTTGGAAGAATTAGGAAGAAGCGGTTTTTACGATTTATCCTGTAGCCGTATTTGGATTTTTTCGGATACTAGGGATCGGATGGGGTTAAGTTTTTCGACAATGTCAGGGTCACGGGAAGTAACCACCGCCTTGTTGTCTCGGTAGACGGTTAAGGAAAGGAATGGTAATTATTGCGACGAAAAGAGGTAGCGGGTTTGGATTTTTAAATTT